TGTGGGTTATTTCTAACTAGATCTGAAAGAGAGTTCCTAAGTTTTGAGCCTGAAAATACAAATGATTTATTTGAGAGCAAAGTTCTTGTTTTTGGTAGATGAAAAAGCTAGGCAGACCGAGTAGGATAATGATGAATATTGACATTATTTGTAAACATTGAATAAAAAAACATTTGGCAGTTCATTTCTATTTAAATTATACACGAATATTCCCAGATTATAACTGTGTAAATCTGTTATCTTTAGGATACTATGTGTGTGAAAAAGTGCATCTATGTGCGCTCGAAAATCAGAATGACATATAACACGCCGCGCTTTTTTTCTGGAGTAATAAAATTATATTTAAAAGATAGTCGCACTATTGCCCCAAGCTATGATTCCGTAGTTTAAGTGTGGGAGGATTAACGTTGAATACAGGTTTAATAATAAACGAGTTGGAAAGTAAAATTTGACCTTGTTTATAATGCCAATATTCCTTGAAATAACTTTACAAATATTATCTACGTGTTCCTTCCAGGAAAGCTTTTTTCATCTATCGTTATTCCAAGCAATTTAGTATTTAAAAACTCTTTGTGTGATGGTACAATAAAAAAGAACATTGCCTGGAAGTTCATTTATTATGTTGTTGAAGAGCATGTAGTTCGTCTTTTGCAGGTTGGGAGATAATTTATTGGCTTTGATCCATTTGAAACATGTTTTAATTCCTGGTTGATGGTAGAAAGCAAAACATGTGGGTCCTTATGGGAAAAGAAAAGATTTGAGTCGTCTGCAAAAAGAGTAAAAGATAAAACCTCCGAAGACGTACAGAAATCAATGATATAAATAAGAAAAAGAAGAGGGCCCAAAATAGAACCTTGTGGGACACCACAACTTTCATCTTTCGTATTAGACAGTACACACCGATACCTATATGATAGATGATTGACATTTTCTGATCAATTCCACACCGTTTCTTTTAAAATGCAATTGCATGACCAGAACTCAACTTTATCTTTAGGTGAAATTCATCAGGGTTTTACTTTTTCTTTCGCACATTATACGGAATACTGCAAAACCTCTCCCATAGAAAATCACAGCTCTTGTTTAAATGTATGTTTATAAACAATTTATTGACAATTGTTGCTGAGTTGGCCAATGCATGGTGGCGAATTTTAAAAAAATCACTGTGAAGCACAAACTTTGCAATGACTTCCTTGGCGTTTTGAAAGCTGCGGATATCGTAGGTCTGGTTCTATGTAAAGGGTCGGTTCATTTATTTGATCCCTATCACATTTTTCATCAAATTTGTTCAAGATATATCCATAACATAAGCCCTAAAATAGGAATGCAGAGTATTTACAAATTAGAAAAAGTAGAAAAACTAGAAAACAAATGATGTAAGGCAAAGCATTTCCTATGCTCATGTCACTTCGAAAATTCACATAATATATATATATATATATATATATATATATATATAACTAATAGTTTATTTGTGTGTGTGTTCGTAAAGATAAGTGTTAATTGTTGAAGAATGAAGTTCATGTAAGTTAGTGCTGATTATGGTGAGTTAATTAAATCAGCTACGCCAGGGATTATTGTGCTGGCCCAGTATTTTATAGATAAATAGTATTATACAAATGATACACACAGCAGTGAGGGCATTAGTAAGAATTACCAACACAAGGTACATGGAACAGTCTAACACGCCCTAGGTGATAGCCGAGGGTGTTTGGAGTGTTTCGAAGGTACCGAGTGTGGGCAATTTCACTAATGCCCGAAGAAAATGCTCTGTATTATTTGTTTTATAAGATGATGTTTTATAAAATGATATTTTATAACATGATTTTACTAATGACCGGCCATAAGTAATTATTAATGACCGGTCATTAGTAAAATATCGTGTTAGGCAAAATAAATGCCTGGCCACGTGTACGCTCTCAACCAATCATTTGTGTAGGATCCACTTCATCATCTTATAATATTATTACTATGCACCTTTTTCAGGTTATGTACAAAACGTGTAGAGCTATAGGACTGGTGTGGGCACAGTCGATATTGAAGCCAAGAGGTATACAGTGTTTGGTTCTGCTCTGCAGACATTATTGATTTAAAAAAAAATGTTTTTCTGTTTGAGCAGAAAATGCTGACCTTCTTTTGAGGTCAAAAGGTTGACGGATGGGTTCTGCTTTAATAGTAGCAATGGCTGATGTTCTTAGTTTTTCTCAATTCTAGCTGCAACTATCGGTGACCGTTTTGAACGTAATATTTTACATTATATCACTTGATTATTTGTTTGCTGGCATATAAAATGTCTAAGAAATGAAGCTGTGAGATTTCCATTAAACTATGTGAAAATAATGAAGTGTGATTTAGTGAAAAGGAAAAGGGAAATATTTTGTAGTTCTGGATTGTGAAAGTTAGTTTAATTCCAGTCGTTCTGATTTGAAACAATAAGAGTATATCATGTCAATGTAATGTTTAAAGTATGAACACAGACTATAAAATGTATACATGAACACTTAAATTAAAAGATTGTGAAAGTTAGTTTAATTCCAGTCGTTTTGATTTGATACAAGTACTGAGTATATCATGTCAATGTAATGTTTAACGTATGAACACAGACTAGAAAATGTATACATGAGCACTTTAATCTAAAAGATTGTGAAAGTTAGTTTAATTCCAGTCGTTCTAATTTAATAAAATGAATGAGTATATTATGTCAATGTAATCTTTTAAGTATGATCACAGACTAGAAAATGTATACATGAGCACTTTAAATTAAAAGATTATGAAAGTTAGTTTAATTCCAGTCGTTCTAATTTAATAAAATGAATGAGTATATCATGTCAATGTAATCTTTTAAGTATGATCACAGACTAAAAAATGTATGCATATATATACTCTTGAAATTAGATGACAAGTGATGCTAGGATCGAACACGTCCGATCTCGAGAACCAAGAGCAAGGGGTTTTTAGGGTTGTAAAACAGAGCTCAACCTCTCACGTACAAGAACGGTCTTGATTTGAGAATGTGATTTCGATGTTTTTTTAGTGTAAATCTACAGAGGTTAACTTTTGTGACATTATTTGTACATTTTTTGTTGATTCTTGTTTAGTGTTGAAATATCAGAACGTACTATTTTTTTTTTGTAGCAATTTGGACTGGTGTAAATATTGAAACCCAAAATAACGGTATTGCTGTATGACAATGACTATGAACTTTATTGTCATGTCACCCATTATCATGGTATTGTAGAATTAAATAATGTATGTACAAATAGTTAATGTTATGGTAAACAAGTAAATAAATTACATAGTATCTGAAGTATAGTATTGGTGAACTTGTACAAACAAACAGGAAATCGAAGCAAGCAAACAAATTAATATGCAAATATTCATTAGTCAAATAGTTGGGTAGTGAAACAAAAATGGATTGAATGAATGAATTAACAAATAATTGATGATTAATAAATTATTTTAATATTATAGAATAGTAATTAAATAATACAAAATTCATGAACGAAGAAATTAATAAATAAATAAATAAATGAACACCATGAAATTAATAAATTGTATTAAGAAAACAACTAATTCTGTAATATTCAAAACAGGGTCTATATTGGCATCAACATAGGTTGCCTTTATGTTAAATGGCGCGTGTGTTAAATATAATTACTTAGAGTAGTAATGTATGTGACACTCATTATCATAATGAGCTGTATAATACAGATGTCATGAGCGTGTTGAAAAGATAAATGATTGGCTGATTTGTTTGATGTTGATCTATCTGCGGGCAATTACTACATGCACTCAAAAAGATTAAATCGGTACTAGATTAATGTAGCCATCGAGGGAAATAGAGTAGGAGAAAGAGGGGTGGTGAGGGAGAGCGCGGGGAGAAAAAAGGGTAGGAGAGGGATCCAGAGGGAGGGAAGGGTGAAGGGGAATAGAGGGATAGGGGAGGGAGGAAGGGAGGAAAGAAAAAGAGAGAGCAGGGGCGGATCTAGCTTTTTGTCAAAGGGGGGGGGGGGGTGACCAAGTGACAGATCCAGGATTTTCCAAAAATCGCGCCGTTTTACTGTTTTACTTTTTTTCTTTCCCCACCTCCCCCTTTTCACTTGGCCGTCCAGGGGGGAGGGGAGGGGGGGGGGGGTTAAACCGCCGAACCCCCCTAGATTCGCCCCTGGAGATAAAGAGAAAAAGATATATATATATATATATATATAATATAGAGAGAGAGAGAGGGGGGGGGGAGAGAGAGAGAGATAGAGAGAGAGAGAAAGAGAGAGAGAGATAGAGATAGAGAGAGATAGAGAGAGGGGGAGAGAGAGAGAGAGAGAGAGAGAGAGAGGGAGAGAGGAGGGAAGGCAGATCGAGAGGCGGGGGAATATCACTGATCTCTACGGAAAAATCTAGAGATCAGTGGGGAATATGCTTGGACTGCCGGGAGGGGGCGGAGTATAGATGCATGGGATACATGCGCCTTGACTAGCTCTTTGGATGGATATGCGAAAAATATTCTATCGTACTTAGAAAATTACCCGAAAAATGAAATTTTGCTTCTTTGTCTCTACCTTATTCCATTAAACACCGTCCCCCCCCCCCCCCCCAAAAAAAAAAAAAAAAAAAAAAGAAAAGAGGCTTACATAGTAAATGTCAGACGTTCCTATCATAATATGATTGTACAAATCTAGGATTTAATGACAATGACAATTGTTATTTCTTATATAATGCAGAGCACTCAATGAAAATCACTATTTGATTATTTTATTATTGCTTATCATTTTCTCGGCGTCCCTGCACTATATAGCATGGGTTGTCACTCGTAATTTTCAGATTAGTAGTAGTGGTAGACAATACCGATGAATCATCAACGTTTTAGAACTCCCTCTACAGCTGACTCTTTGTAAATACGAGAATCAGCGCCATCGGAACCTGCCGCTCCGCTGAACGGGAACGCTAGGGCGCACATTGCGTATGAATCGGCTACTATACTCTGATCCCATGAACACAAAATTCATTCATTCATTAGTTGCGCTGCACTGTAGATTTCGAGGCTACCACTTGTTAGCTCAAGCTCCAGTCTACTTTTAATTTCCTCTCTCACTGAATTGTCTTTAAATGTTCAAGCTCTGTGCCAGCTAGTCAGTTAACGGTCACTTCTGTTGGTAGAGAATAATCCATCACAAACGGTGATTTCGGACAGAAATTCAGTAAAAATGTCGGCTGACCACACAGATTCCGTTCCGAACGGTGACTGCCCCCACCTCCCGAACGGTCTTCCGTCGCCTGCTAGGACTGACGACGCCGATATCTTAGCCGCAAAAACCCACAGTTTATCCCTCCAAGACAGCAGTTTCCACTCTACAGGGAGAGAAAATCTCACGATGAACGGAGAAGTGCCGACCAAAGAAGAAGAAAATCGAAAACTCTTAAAGAAAACCACGGATTCCCACGCTAGTTTGTACAGGCAAGATTCAGATAAGCAGCTGCCCGGCCTAGCCCTTGCCTACCGGTCGATCATCCGTGGCGTCGGGGAGGATCCGAACCGTCAGGGGCTGAAAAAGACGCCCGATCGTGCCGCCAAAGCCATGATGTTCTTCACGAAGGGGTATGAGGAAAAGATTGAAGGCAAGTATTTTTTTTGAAATTATTTTACTGTTAAATTTTCCCATTTTTTAGAGGAAGGGGGGGGGGGGGTGTCTTTAGGAGATTAATAGAAAACTAAGGTCGGAGCAAGTTTTAAAAGTGGACACACATATTTGTGATGATGGTGGTGACAGTGTCAGTGATAATTAAATTAATTATTGTCAAATGTCAAGCACAATGATTGATAATTTGACATGATAATCAGTTGAGTTAATGATCTGCATGATTTATGTTGATGATGGTGATGATGATGCAGAGCTACCAAGTATCACGCATTAGGCGTGACATCACTCATTTCGAGCGTCTGAAAATGCTTACGCACGACGCACGCGCTAGACTTTGAAAAACCGCTATACCTTTTACGTGTGTTATACCCTCGCACGCGCGCTTGCGCGCCGAATCATGAAAATGTCACGCATTGCCGATCTTTGAACTTGGCGTCTCTGGATGATGATGAATCTTGAATTTGACAGTGAAGGTGTTGATGATGTTGGTGACGATGACGGTGATGAATGATAATAGTGATGTTATTTATTATTCAATATATTTTCTAACCATAAAAATACTACTGGGCAATCCATTCCATAAATTAAAATAAAATAAAAAGTGATATAATTTCATTTCATACCTCAGGGGCTCATATCAAGATAATGCATTTTTATTGTTTTTTGTTATCTCAAGTGTGTACATTTCTTCAGATTCATATTTGCTTTCCAGTTTGAGTAAAAAAAAAATCATCTTATAGAAAAAAGAAAGAAATTGATGCAGGCTTATAAATGTAACTTGGAGCCAGGAGGAGGGAAAGAAAAACTAGGAATTAATTTGATTTGGACATGTATCATGTGAGATGTACATGTATGTGTAATTGAGGTGGTTTAAAAAAAAAAACATGATGGCTCAGTAATTGAGGTGGTTTTAAAAAAAAAACATGATGGCTCAGTGGTAGAGCAGTAGTCTCTCAAACAGGATATCCTGGTTAAAGGTATAGACCAGTTTTGGACCCCCCCCCCCCTCTCAAAAAATGAAATGGAAGCTCTCATTACCGATCATGTGAATATGTTTTGACTAATATGTGATGACACAAATTTCACCGGGAAACTGCCTACTAATTGATATATTAGGTAAATTATTATATCTATCTGGACCGGAGAGATATCGCGCATGTGTCGCATAGTCCCAACTACATCTTTCTGTGTACAGTGCTTGTAACTTTACCAAGACTGGGCTGAATTACTTATCATTTTGATGACTCAAGAACCTTGCAGTACATACCAATTCTTATCTGCTAGATGATCAACCTTTTCTGATTGATTCCGGCAAAGTTTCTTTCACAATGCAATCGCATGACCAGAACATTAACTGGTCTTTATCTTATAAATGCACTAGTGCCCTATGGTAGAGCATTGATCCTATTCAATCTTTAATCATTTTACATGCACTGCAGATGCTTAATAATGTTTGTCCTATCTACATCATGTAGCACCAATAATGTATGAAATTCATATCCTGACTATTGAAATACATTTATTTATAACAGGTGAATGAAATGAATTGTATTTTGTAACATGTCATTTAACAAAGATTTATCCATTACATTTAATTTGATTACATTACAAAAATGGTCCATTGCCCGTCAAGGCTGTATGTCCCTGTCTTATAACACCACTGAATTCTCAATGGTTTCTCCAGAAAGGGAGGGAGGAACGATCAGAATTTAATGAGCCGTTTCCAAGACAGATGTCACGCTTGAGTAAACAAGTAGTTAAACAGCTTCCATGCTCTGACAAGGAGCAATTAATTGCTTGTAGGTTCGCATAATTTGAGCCAAGCTGTGGCAAGATTTAATTTGGACCTTAATGAGCCTTTCTCAACCAAATTAATGTTGGATGGAAGAAAATCAATCGTTGAGACCTTTGAGAATATCATTGCCTACAGAATTGCTTCAGCATTTATGCACTACGTGTAGATAATAGTTAGTAACTAATGATCCCTGTGATCAAGGTTTCTTCTTTTGTACTTGCAAGCTCTCCTATCACAGCTAAGTGATTATGATAGCTTTTAAGCAGTAAGCACAATGCGTTAGATCAAAATCTGCAATACTGTACAATGTACATGAACATACTGTACTATCATGGATGACTCCTGCAGCCTAAACCATGATTTTTCGTGTTCGTAACTTCTGATTAAACTTCTCTTTTTCTATTACTATTATTCACAACACTTATAACACATATTTAGTTTTTGAGCCACTTAAAAGTGAGATTTCCTTCTTGTCATCTTCTTGTATTCAATTGCTATAGCACTAAATCATGCACTGCTCCTTCGTATTCTTTTACTGTAGAAAGCTCACATCGATGAAAAAAGGTATTTAAAGGATTTACAACTGTACGTGCAGGGAAAGCAAAAGTAGAAAGAAAGAAATATATCCTGGACCTGAGCAATGCAAATTTTGTACACGTACACCACAGTGGCACGGTACATATTCACTTGAAATAGCGCAGCATGTACGGTATAACTTATCTCCCAATGGAAATCGAAAACATTTTAGAAGCACTCAAACATGGGAGGAAGTCATATTGGTTTGATTGACTTCCAGAAAGGAAATGCATCAATCCAGGATATGTGAATTGCTTGGCCAATTGTAGCCAAGTTGTAGACAGATGTATAGAAAATCAATGAAAACAATGCTCCCCCCCCCCACTTGAAAAAAGGGGTGGGGAGCAATTTTATCTGTATCCATTTCAACCACCTCTTTTCATTACAATTGGATTTGTCTGCTGGAGTTATTCTATTTGCATGTATTTGTTGTACATGTACATGTACCTGTAAATGTCCAAATCAAGTCAAATGAATTTTTATTTTATTACTTTTCTCTCTTCTCCATGAAAACCAATGTTAGCTTTAATAGACAAGTAAAGTTGAATAAATAGTTATAATATGAAGATGGTATTATAAATAACTAAGTAATTACTTTACTTTTTTATTTCATTTTTTTTCTCCTGCATTGTCATTTTGCCCTTAAAGGTACATTGTTGCTTTTATAGTCTAAACATTGTATTGTACAAATATCGTAGACATATTGAGTGGGTGGTGCTTACTGTAAGCCCTCACTGGTAATGGGCCAGCTGTCGTGTCACCTGACCTCTTTAAAACGGTTTCTTTATACAACATTTCTTACAAATGCGCTGTGCATTGTTAATTTAAATACACTGTACAGTGTGTTGCTTATTGTAAACGCTGATTTTGCTTCACAACCTTAGAAACCACCTGTACAAATATAAAGACCACATTTTTTGTTTCCCTCAATGATTGTTTCTCAATCCCAAGGAAACCTGTACTGAAGGAACCTGTATAATATATAGACCACCTAAATATAGAAACCCCTTTTCTTGTCACCCTTTATATGAAGAGCTTGGTTCCAAAAGGTACTACATCCATACATGTACAGTGTACCTGTAGATCCAAGTTCTGAGTAGAACACAATTTTTAATTATCATAGTTTAATACATGTAGCAATGTCAGTTTGGAATGATATTTTGGCTGATTATACTATTGTATGATTATGATACAAGTATAAAACCACTCTTTAAAAAAATCAAACTCAGTCTGCACAAACGTTTTTTAATGAAGTTACGATTTTTAAATTTTTGTGGATATACATGTAGTATCTTTTGGAACCTAAATTGGATGTACTACTTTTTGAAACCGAACATCTTGATACTGTATGCAAGTTACAATCCATAACTTGAATGGCTATAGTACCTTAAATGCCTTTTTTTTTGGGGGGGGGGGAGTATTTAACATTTTGGAAGTGTCAGTGTATGAGGCCACTTTTTCATAAAAATGATGTAGTACCTTTAAGAACCGAGCTCTTCATAATCATATACAGGTTTCACTGTATATGTTTCATGTAAATTTCCATTGGTCTCAACAGGATATTAGTGCCAAATGTTGATTACACAGAAAGTGGAGTGACAATTGCCCCGTTTTATTTTTTAGCTCGGCGCAATCAATCAAGCTGACCGACGTTTCATTACTGAAGCGTACCCTACCCTACTTGTAATATATAAGCCTGAGACCTGTAGCATGACGTATGAAGAGGGAGAGAAAATGAGAGAGAGAGAGAGAGAGAGAGAGGGAGGGAGGGGGAGGAGGGAGAGGGAGGTGGGAGAGAGAGAGAGAGAGAGAGGTGGGGGGGGAGAGAGAGAGATTGAGAGAGAGAGAGGGCAGATTGAAAGAGAGAGAAAGAGAGAGAGAGAGAGAGAGAGAGGGGAGGCGAGAGAGAGAGAGAGAGAGGTGGGGGGGAGAGAGAGAGAGAGAGAGATTGAGAGAGAGAGAGAGAGGGCAGATTGAAAGAGAGAGAAAGAGAGAGAGAGGGGGAGGGGGAGGAGGGAGAGGGAGGCGAGAGAGAGAGAGAGAGAGGTGGGGGGAGAGAGGGAGAGAGAGATTGAACATAGATTGAAAGAAGGGAGGAAGCGACAGAGAGAGGGAGAGAGAGATGGAGAGACTTAGAGAAAGGGAGGCAGGAAGAGAGAGAGAGAGAGATTGAGAGATGTACACTGTATATTAAAGGGAGAGAGAGAGAGAGAGAAGGTAGATTGAAAGAGAGAGAGAGAGGGGTGCAGATTGAGGAAGAGGGAGAGAGAGAAAGAGAGGAGGTACAACATATCGTCGCTGTTTTCACAAAGTGACGGTAGTGAAAAAAAATTGCATTCACTTTGCGTTACGATGTTCCTCACTACCGTCACTTCGTGAAAACAAGGACGATATATGTGAAGCTAGGAGGGAGAAATATAAATAATGAGAAGAGTATAGAGAAAGAGAAAGAGAACGATTGTGGAAGGGCAGAGAGGACTAAATGAAGAGATAAAATGAAACAAACATATACAGATATTATTATTGTAGAGCACTTAGAGACTTAGCTGACAAAGTAAGTGTTAGGCGCTATATAAGCAAGGATAATTATTATTATTTGTGGTAGA